AGACTGGGTCATCTGACCAATCAGAGCAGAGTAGACCAATCACTCACAACAGACTGGGTCATCTGACCAATCAGAGCAGAGTAGACCAATCCCAACAGACTGGGTCATCTGACCAATCACAACAGACTGGGTCATCTGACCAATCAGAGCAGAGTAGACCAATCACAACAGACTGGGTCATCTGACCAATCAGAGCAGAGTAGACCAATCCCAACAGACTGGGTCATCTGACCAATCACAACAGACTGGGCCATCTGACCAATCAGAGCAGAGTAGACCAATCACAACAGATTGGGCCATCTGACCAATCAGAGCAGAGTAGACCAATCACAACAGACTGGGCCATCTGACCAATCAGAGCAGAGTAGACCAATCACAACAGACTGGGTCATCTGACCAATCAGAGCAGAGTAGACCAATCACAACAGACTGGGTCACCTGACCAATCAGAGCAGAGTAGACCAATCACAACAGATTGGGTCATCTGACCAATCAGAGCAGAGTAGACCAATGACAACAGATTGGGCCATCTGACCAATCAGAGTAGAGTAGACCAATCACAACAGATTGGGCCGTCTGACCAATCAGAGCAGAGTAGACCAATCACAACATATATGGCCATCTGACCAATCAGAGTAGAGTAGACCAATCACAACAGATTGGGCCGTCTGACCAATCAGAGTAGAGTAGACCAATCACAACAGACTGGGTCTTCTGACCAATCAGAGCAGAGTAGACCAATCACAACATATATGGCCATCTGACCAATTTAGAGTAGAGTAGACCAATCACAACAGATTGGGCCGTCTGACCAATCAGAGCAGAGTAGACCAATCACAACATATATGGCCATCTGACCAATCAGAGTAGAGTAGACCAATCACAACAGATTGGGCCGTCTGACCAATCAGAGCAGAGTAGACCAATCACAACATATATGGCCATCTGACCAATCAGAGTAGAGTAGACCAATCACAACAGATTGGGCCGTCTGACCAATCAGAGCAGAGCAGACCAATCACAACAGACTGGGTCATCTGACCAATCAGAGCAGAGTAGACCAATCACAACATATATGGCCATCTGACCAATCAGAGTAGAGTAGACCAATCACAACAGATTGGGCCGTCTGACCAATCAGAGCAGAGTAGACCAATCACAACATATATGGCCATCTGACCAATCAGAGTAGAGTAGACCAATCACAACAGATTGGGCCGTCTGACCAATCAGAGCAGAGCAGACCAATCACAACAGACTGGGTCATCTGACCAGTCAGAGCAGAGTAGACCAATGACAACAGATTGGGCCATCTGACCAATCAGAGCAGAGTAGACTAATCACAACATATTGGGCCATCTGACCAATCAGAGCAGAGTAGACCAATCACAACAGACTGGGCCATCTGACCAATCAGAGCAGAGAAGACCAATCACAACAGACTGGGCCATCTGACCAATCAGAGCAGAGAAGACCAATAGGGTCACTTTAAATTTAGCACAGTTTGTTCTGGATACAATATAATCAGACGTTAGCAATTAAAATGTTGTAAGTAATGTTTAATGTCAGGGCAGGTCAAAACACCTCCAAAGCCCATTAATATTGTATGCATAGTTAATGCTTTAATATTAACTAATGGGACCTTAGTGTTCCACATTTTCATTAATAATATGGATATGCAATTAATTTACCATGTAATACAGTTTATTATTATTACTATAACTTTAAATGGTTAAGTTGGTGCATTGCATTCACAGATCTGCATTTTACAACAAAACTCTGGATGCTTCTGTGCAATAAAATGTGAATTCCTTCAATCTGAATTACTAATTAAAATGCGTATAAATCAGAAAATGTCTTATGTAACTCCTTATAAAATGGTGCATTGTCTGCCAGGAACACGAAGGCAAATAAAAGTCAAACAAACGGCTTGTGTATTAGTTCGATGGAGCTTGAATTGACACACCGTTCTGTTGTTGTGTTTGTGTAAAATAGCCAATAAAAGCAGCAGTCCAAGATATTTTTAACTGACTCGGGCCTTGAATTGAATGCTGGACCAGGACCACCCCGAAACCGTGTCCTGTGAGCTGTGTTTACTGAACCGCTGACTAAACAATCTCAGCCCTCACATTACACACACGAGGAGTCGCCGCATCTTTTCATGCATCAGGACAGTGCATACTTTAATTTACACACTGTATTTTAAAAAGATGCAAATGCTTTGGGTGTTTGCAACAAATAGTGACAAATAGTTCATTCTTTGCCATCATTATTTATAGTAAAGAATGGTGTCGGATTGCAGGAGGCCAGAAGACGGCTCTTAAAATAGACTGAGGACTTATTGGCCAGAGTAAAACCATGACAATCATGCTAACCTCAATCAGGTCATTGTCTATGCATAGATGTTTAAATGTTTGAAAACGTCAATTTATTTCCATTTCATCTATATTTAATCTGTATATATATTGTTTAAAAAAATCCATTATAGTTTTATTTTTTCCCCACAGCAGTGCCATCTTTGGTTCCCCATCCAAAATAATTCATAAAATATTTATTTTTCTCTTATTCTGCGTCCGAAATCAAATACTGTCTGAGTAGGCACTGCATTTAGTTTGAAACTTTCTTCACAACTGTTAAAATATTTTTGTTATAGCATGAATGTATGGAAGCTTGTTTCTGCCACAGAATAAAAACTAGGTAAAAAAAAAGGTAATTGCGACTTTATATCACACAATTCTAAAAAGTCAGAATTGCGAGATGTAAAGTCCGAATTGCGAGACGTAAAGTCCGGATTGCGAGACGTAAAGTCCGGATTGCGAGACGTAAAGTCCGAATTGCGAGACGTAAAGTCCGGATTGCGAGACGTAAAGTCCGGATTGCGTGACGTAAAGTCCGGATTGCGAGACGTAAAGTCCGAATTGCGAGACGTAAAGTCCGAATTGCGAGACGTAAAGTCCGGATTGCGAGACGTAAAGTCCGGATTGCGAGACGTAAAGTCCGGATTGCGTGACGTAAAGTCCGAATTGCGAGACGTAAAGTCCGGATTGCGAGACGTAAAGTCCGGATTGCGAGACGTACAGTCCGGATTGCGAGACGTAAAGTCCGGATTGCGTGACGTAAAGTCCGGATTGCGAGACGTAAAGTCCGAATTGCGAGACGTAAAGTCCGGATTGCGAGACGTAAAGTCCGGATTGCGAGACGTAAAGTCCGGATTGCGTGACGTAAAGTCCGATTTGCGAGACGTAAAGTCCGGATTGCGAGACGTATAGTCCGAATTGCGAGACGTAAAGTCCGAATTGCGAGACGTAAAGTCCGGATTGCGAGACGTAAAGTCCGGATTGCGTGACGTAAAGTCCGAATTGCGAGACGTAAAGTCCGAATTGCGAGACGTAAAGTCCGAATTGCGAGACGTAAAGTCCGAATTGCGAGACGTAAAGTCAGAATTGCGAGACGTAAAGTCCGAATTGCGAGACGTAAAGTCCGGATTGCGTGACGTAAAGTCCGGATTGCGAGACGTAAAGTCCGGATTGCGTGACGTAAAATCCGAATTGCGAGACGTAAAGTCAGAATTGCGAGACGTAAAGTCAGAATTGCGAGACGTAAAGTCAGAATTGCGAGACGTAAAGTCCGGATTGCGTGACGTAAAGTCCGGATTGCGAGACGTAAAGTCCGGATTGCGTGACGTAAAGTCCGAATTGCGAGACGTAAAGTCAGAATTGCGAGACGTAAAGTCAGAATTGCGAGACGTAAAGTCAGAATTGCGAGACGTAAAGTCAGAATTGTATATAATATCCGATATAATGTCCAATATAATTCGGACTTTATATCTCGCAATTCTGACTTTATAATACACAATTGTGAGAGAAAACATCAGCCATGTTGTCACTGTCATGTGATGTCAGGCTTCACTGTCATTCACAAATCCTCTCCTGTGGCCTCATGGGATAGCCAAGTGTCCATCAGATGTGCACGTCAGAGTCTCGCTGGAAGTAGCATTTTATCCTTCTTCATGAATGCACACTACTCTGTTGGCGTACTGTTTTTGTATGTACTACTACATAGTAGGAAAGTATTCGATTTTGGACAAAACGTCAGTTTGAAGATCACTAACAATCTTTTCCCCACTATAAAGACGCTTTAGTGGTTCTTCATGGAGTAATCAATGCTAATGAAGAAGGTTTATTGTTATTAATAGTGTAGCAAACGCAGTCCTCTGTTGTGGTGACGCAGTGGATTAGACGGAGCAGCTGCGACGGGCCGTTTTTAAAGGAGGGCCAATAATCCGAGGGGTTTTTCTCCTTTAGTCCCTCCTCACTCAAGCTTGGGTTTCACAATCTCTCTCTTCCAGCTCTACTCACAGTTCCTCTCAGACGCTGAACACCTACAACTGGATCCTCATGGAGGAGGTCATTTATTACACAAGCCTTTGAATAAGAAACCCATATTTATCCGCTTTTATATTCAGCTCTTTTTTTATGCTATTAGCTGTTGCGTTTATCAAGTATGAAAGCCTGGTGAACATTTAAAAAAGGATGCTGTGATATAATGGTGCATTTTAGGAGAAGCTGGTCTACTTTAAGGAAATGAAGGCTCGACAAGTGAACTTTAAGGTGAGTTTCATTTTGTTTTTAAGAATCTGAAAACTTGAACAGAACTTTATATATATATATATATATATATATATATATATATATATATATATATCTTAAACTTGTTATTCTTTTGGTTTTGTTCTTGTGCTGCATATAGAGAAAATATACATTTAAAATTAAAATGCTACTCTTGCTTTGCTTATTCTGAACTTATTACTATATATATATATATATATATATATATATATATATATATATTCATATATATATAACAAGGATATTCGATATTTGGATTAGTTATATATATATATATATATATATATATATATATATATATTGTTATTTAGATATATTAAGAAAAGTCGTCATGCATTCATCATTAAACATTAACTGTTAGGCTGTAATTTGTCTTCATGCTTTCTTAATTTAATTCCAAAAAAAATAATTTTAATTGAGTAAGGATAGCAAAAGGAATTTGATTATAATTTGGAGCTAATCCAGATCTCATGGACGAATCAAAATTGAAAAAATAAGCTTGAAATATTCAGTTTATCCTGCAGGAATAAGAAACCCATATTTCTCTGCATATCTGACCCCATAGATGTGATTTTTTTGTGAACACCTGTGGGCTGTGTAAGATGTGTCTCTGTGTCTCAGTGATAGAGGAACGAGAAGGTTTGAGAAGCGCACACACACTCTGGCGTTCAGCATGGGCTCTCCTGTGTGTGTCGGGCTGATGCTGATGCTGCTGGTCAGTTCTCGCGGCTCCAGTGGTGTGTGCCCTCGTCAGTGCGCGTGTTCGGTGTCCGCTGAAGTTCACTGCACCTTTCGTGCGCTCGCCACCGTGCCCGCGGGCATCTTCAAACAAGTTCTGCGCATTAATTTCGGGTAAGTCACTTCTAATCGTGTTCTTTAGTATAATGCATGGCAGGTTTATGTTACGATCATATATTTGACTATGGAAAAATTATGCAGTTATTATAACTCTTTGAGACATCATATTGAGCAAGTTGTCAAAATGGAACGAGGCTTATGTATTCTTTATAGTTTATATAAATTTTTTCACAATTTCAAGTTTATATCTCACAATTCCAAGAAAAAACATCATAATTCTAAGATTTGCAATTGCAATAGAAAAGTATTTTTTTCTCTTTGAATATATATCTCTGTTTGCGAGATATAAAGTCAGAATTGCGCGATATAAAGTCGGAATTGCGAGATATAAAGTCGGAATTGCGAGATATAAAGTCGGAGTTGCGAGATATAAAGTCGGAGTTGTGAGATATAAAGTCAGAATTGCGAGATATAAAGTCAGAATTGCGAGATGTAAAGTCGGAATTGCGAGATAAAAAGTCGGAATTGCGAGATATAAAGTCAGAATTGCGAGATATAAAGTCAGAATTGCGAGATATAAAGTCAGAATTGCGAGATATAAAGTCAGAATTGCGAGATATAAAGTCAGAATTGCGAGATGTAAAGTCGGAATTGCGAGATAAAAAGTCGGAATTGCGAGATATAAAGTCGGAATTGCGAGATATAAAGTCGGAATTGCAAGATAAAAAGTCGGAATTGCGAGATATAAAGTCGGAATTGCGAGATATAAAGTCAGAATTGCGAGATATAAAGTCGGAATTGCGAGATAAAAAGTCGGAATTGCGAGATATAAAGTCAAATTGCGAGATATAAAGTCGGAATTGCGAGATAAAAAGTCGGAATTGCGAGATATAAAGTCAGAATTGCGAGATATAAAGTCAGAATTGCGAGATATAAAGTCAGAATTGTGTGATATAAAGTCAGAATTGCGAGATATAAAGTCAGAATTGCGAGATGTAAAGTCGGAATTGCGAGATAAAAAGTCGGAATTGCGAGATATAAAGTCGGAATTGCGAGATATAAAGTCGGAATTGCGAGATATAAAGTCAGAATTGCGAGATATAAAGTCAAAATTGCGAGATATAAAGTCGGAATTGCGAGATAAAAAGTCGGAATTGCGAGATATAAAGTCAGAATTGCGAGATATAAAGTCAGAATTGCGAGATATAAAGTCAGAATTGTGTGATATAAAGTCAGAATTGCGAGATATAAAGTCGGAATTGCGAGATAAAAAGTCGGAATTGCGAGATATAAAGTCGGAATTGCGAGATATAAAGTCGGAATTGCGAGATAAAAAGTCGGAATTGCGAGATATAAAGTCGGAATTGCGAGATATAAAGTCAGAATTGCGAGATATAAAGTTGGAATTGCGAGATATAAAGTAAACATTGCGAGATATAAAGTCAGAATTGCTAGATATAAAGTCGGAATTGCGAGATATAAAGTCAAAATTGCGAGATATAAAGTTGGAATTGCGAGATATAAAGTCAAAATTGCGAGATATAAAGTCAGAATTGCGAGATGTAAAGTCGGAGTTGCGAGATGTAAAGTCGGAATTGCGAGATGTAAAGTCGGAATTGCGAGATATAAAGTCGGAATTGCGAGATGTAAAGTCGGAATTGCGAGATATAAAGTTGGAATTGCGAGATATAAAGTAAACATTGCGAGATATAAAGTCAGAATTGCTAGATATAAAGTCGGAATTGCGAGATATAAAGTCAAAATTGCGAGATATAAAGTTGGAATTGCGAGATATAAAGTCAAAATTGCGAGATATAAAGTCAGAATTGCGAGATGTAAAGTCGGAGTTGCGAGATGTAAAGTCGGAATTGCGAGATGTAAAGTCGGAGTTGCGAGATATAAAGTCGGAATTGCGAGATATAAAGTCGGAATTGCGAGATATAAAGTTGGAATTGCGAGATATAAAGTAAACATTGCGAGATATAAAGTCAGAATTGCTAGATATAAAGTCGGAATTGCGAGATATAAAGTCAAAATTGCGAGATATAAAGTTGGAATTGCGAGATATAAAGTCAAAATTGCGAGATATAAAGTCAGAATTGCGAGATGTAAAGTCGGAGTTGCGAGATGTAAAGTCGGAATTGCGAGATGTAAAGTCGGAATTGCGAGATGTAAAGTCGGAATTGCGAGATATAAAGTCGGAATTGCGAGATATAAAGTCAGAATTGCGAGATATAAAGTTGGAATTGCGAGATATAAAGTCAAAATTGCGAGATATAAAGTCGGAATTGCGAGATATAAAGTTGGAATTGCGAGATATAAAGTTGGAATTGCGAGATATAAAGTTGGAATTGCGTGATATAAAGTCAGAATTGCGAGATATAAAGTTGGAATTGCGAGATATAAAGTTGGAATTGCGAGATATAAAGTTGGAATTGCGTGATATAAAGTCAAAATTGCGAGATATAAAGTCGGAATTGCGAGATATAAAGTTGGAATTGCGAGATATAAAGTTGGAATTGCGAGATGTAAAGTCGGAATTGCGAGATATAAAGTCGGAATTGCGAGATGTAAAGTCGGAATTGCGAGATATAAAGTCGGAATTGCGAGATATAAAGTCAGAATTGCGAGATATAAAGTTGGAATTGCGAGATATAAAGTTGGAATTGCGAGATATAAAGTAAACATTGCGAGATATAAAGTCAGAATTGCGAGATATAAAGTCGGAATTGCGAGATATAAAGTTGGAATTGCGAGATATAAAGTAAACATTGCGAGATATAAAGTCAGAATTGCTAGATATAAAGTCGGAATTGCGAGATATAAAGTCAAAATTGCGAGATATAAAGTTGGAATTGCGAGATATAAAGTCAAAATTGCGAGATATAAAGTCAGAATTGCGAGATGTAAAGTCGGAGTTGCGAGATGTAAAGTCGGAATTGCGAGATGTAAAGTCGGAATTGCGAGATGTAAAGTCGGAATTGCGAGATATAAAGTCGGAATTGCGAGATATAAAGTCAGAATTGCGAGATATAAAGTTGGAATTGCGAGATATAAAGTCAAAATTGCGAGATATAAAGTCGGAATTGCGAGATATAAAGTTGGAATTGCGAGATATAAAGTTGGAATTGCGAGATATAAAGTTGGAATTGCGTGATATAAAGTCAGAATTGCGAGATATAAAGTTGGAATTGCGAGATATAAAGTTGGAATTGCGAGATATAAAGTTGGAATTGCGTGATATAAAGTCAAAATTGCGAGATATAAAGTCGGAATTGCGAGATATAAAGTTGGAATTGCGAGATATAAAGTTGGAATTGCGAGATGTAAAGTCGGAATTGCGAGATATAAAGTCGGAATTGCGAGATGTAAAGTCGGATTGCGAGATATAAAGTCGGAATTGCGAGATATAAAGTCAGAATTGCGAGATATAAAGTTGGAATTGCGAGATATAAAGTCAAAATTGCGAGATATAAAGTCGGAATTGCGAGATATAAAGTTGGAATTGCGAGATATAAAGTTGGAATTGCGAGATATAAAGTTGGAATTGCGTGATATAAAGTCGGAATTGCGAGATATAAAGTCGGAATTGCGAGATATAAAGTCAGAATTGCGAGATATAAAGTCAGAATTGCGTGATATAAAGTCCGAATTGCGTGATATAAAGACAACAATCATTTACATCACGTGAATTTTGACTCAAAACCTTGCTGAATTACTAAAATGTAGACCTTGAAACAACTTATCCATGTGGCAACTAGCCCAGGTCATCCCCGATATATGTGTGCATAAAAATAGAGCATTTTTGGTTATAATATAACTTCAATGTAAAGAAATAACTAATTTGGAAGCTTGTTTCTGCCACAGAATAGAATAAAATAAAAGGTTATTTTTCTCACTGTTGTGGTGAATGAGTTATAAAAAAAGTCAGAAATTTGAGAAGAAAAGTTGCAATTCCCTTTCAGTCTGTGGCAGAAACAAGCTTCCATGCTGATGATAAAATGCAACTTAATTTTAAAATATGATTAATAACAATGCTTTTACTATTTAACAGGTTCAACGCTATAAATCACATCACAGACGTCTCTTTTGGTGGCCTTCGGAAGCTGGAGCTACTGATGATGCACGGCAACAATGTGCAGAAAATATCAGATGGTGCTTTTCAGGACCTGGTTTCGTTGCAGGTAAAAGAAGCAATCTAGCACTCAATTTAGTTGTAATTCATTAGTTCTGGCTAGTAAATTAAAAGTGTGCACTTGGGTTGCTCATAGGACATAATAACTCCGAGTTCGCTGCCAAAGAGTGAATGTGTATTTCCTGCAGGTTTTAAAAATGAGTTACAACAAACTGAGAGTCATTACCGGGCACACCTTCTCTGGTTTGACGGGCCTCATTAGGCTTCATCTGGACCACAACCGCATCGAGTTCATCCACCCGGATGCGTTCAGTGGGATGACGTCGCTTCGTTTGCTCCACCTAGAGGCCAACTTTCTCCAAAAGCTCCATCATGCTACGTTCAGCACCTTCTCGCTACTACAGCGCTTCCCCGTGTCCAGCCTGAAGCATCTGTATCTCTCGGACAACCTCCTGCGCTCGCTACCCCCAAACCTGCTGGAGAACATGCCTCAGCTGGAGAACCTCTTCTTATGCGGGAACCCGTGGAGCTGCGACTGCCGGATGAGCTGGTTACAGGACTGGAGCGCAAGAAATGCAGGTAAATCATCTGTATGTTAGGGCTTCAGATGTTCACTCTGTTATCAAATGCATTTGAATTTCCTGAAGAAAATCTCAGTGTTTGTGCAGCGGCAGAAGAATAATGTTCAGGTTGTACTCGAAAAATTAGAATATGGTGCAAAAGTTTGTTTATGTCAGTAATTCAACTTAAAAGGTGAAACTAATATATTATATAGACTCATTACATGCAAAGTGAGATATTTCAAGCCTTTATTTGTTAGAATTGTGATGATTATGGATTACTAATTTTCATAAACTGTAAGCCATAACCCTAAAACCGTATTCTGGGCAAAATAGTTTTGATTTATTTAAAAAAAAAATACTTCCCTTGATCTGAGCGGTACAAGACTTGGCTACTTTTCCTAAGTTTGCATCCTGAACACACACAATTTTTTTTGACTCAATTCTACAAATGTTAAGTGGGTGAAAAAAACTCCTTAATCTTGTATTTGGGTCAAAAATGGGCACCCATAGAAATGAATGGGAAAAACTGTAATTTAGAGCATTCTAAAATAAGCCAAAATAACAGCAAAGTCACTTCATCTTTAGGTTTTAGCTCTAAGAACTTATTGGAATGATATTTAAATAATAAAACACAAAATAAGCATAATTTACATATAAAATATGGTACTTTTTGATGTAAATAAATTCAAAAATACCCCCAAAATAAAAAAAAAACTCTATAAATGGACAGACAAAACTTAATCGAAGATAGTGATATAACATTATAATAAATAAAAAGTCCTCTGTGCCCACATTTGTCCACAATTACAGGATTAAGGGCTATAAAGTGAATACGGTTTGAGGGCTACTCATCAAATTATAACAAATAAAGGCTTGAAATATCTCACTTTGCATGTAATGAGTCTATATAATATTATTAGTTTCACCTTTTAAGTTGAATTACTGAAATAAATGAACTTTTGCACAATATTCAAATATTTCGAGTTTCACATGTCATGTGTAATGAAAATGCTTACAATTTAAATTCAGTATGATTAGAATTGATCATTTTTAAAAATCCGACGACCTCATCACTGTGTGTTGCATTTTAAATGCTTAACACTCTATGAATGTAAGCAGGGCCTAAAAAATGTCTATTTTTTTACCAGCCATGAAACAAAAAAACGGGCAGTAATGACTCCAAAATGTTACTGTAGATACCAGAGAACATTCAGGTCAAGTCATCCTCATTTATATAGCGCTTTTAACAATGTAAATTGTCTCAAAGCAGCTTTAACAGAGATAGGTTTGTTTTTATAGCGGTTCTTGAATAATGTTATTTTCCAGCTAAAGTTAGTTTTGATTGATTCACTTCCGTCGAAATGATCATTTGCTAAGACGACACCGTTCTCTCTAAACAGACTTTAAACATGAACCTGTGATAAACGCTGATGGCGTTCACATGCGCATTAAGAACTGATCCTTAATTATGCTCGTTTTAATATATGTGTGCAGGTTTGTAATTCCCTACAAACCATGCCTGAACAAACTACTTATCTTGCCTATACATTTTGATACAGAATTTGATTTGACCGAATTTCACAGTTCTCTATTTCAATTTTGGTAACACAGCTAAAACTATTAGCCTAACTAATATAAATGTAAACATTATTTAAGACAAGTAAACAGTCAGTAATAAAAAAGAAAAAATAATCATATAACAGCAAAAGAACAAATAAAATACAATATAACTAAGATACAAGAGCTTTTCAGCTTTTTCAGGTTGATTTGACGAAGTTTCCAGGTCAGGAATTTAAATAACGCAAGCAAATAGAGAAAGTATAATAAG